CTCATTTGGGAATAGACTCAGGCTTGTTGCTGATTTTTAAGGATTAGTGTCTCCTCCCCACATTTTTAGGTTCAGCACTGAGCCGCTGGTTGGTTGGTTTTATTTTAGTGTGAAGGCTCCTTGTCTTAGGAATGTGTGTTCTGTCTCAGGAGGTTGAATAGATGTTTAAATAAAACTGACTCTAACATGACTGTATCAGCTATTTGAGATTTGTTTACTTTAAAGAAATGTTTACTTTTAAAATTCAATAAAATGATTCAAAAGGAATTGCATGAAGAAAAGGGGGGGACATTCTCCTCAATTAAAAAAATGTCAGCTTTTAGTTACAGCTTTTCACCTACGTGTGTGTGTGTGTGTGTGTGTGTGTGTGTGTGTGTGTGTGTGCTATTGTCCCTGGGCGCGCCCGCCCGCCCAGGGACAATAGCAACCCACTTGTGAAATCAGTCTTTGGAGAAAGAACTCTGTGTTTTATTTCTCAAGATTTATAGTGTCTCATTAAGTCGTACCATTTCGTGGTGTTAAGCTAGTTTGACAACATTCCAATTCTTAGAGACACTTTCTTTGGCAGCAGGTTAATTCTTTCAATGAAAGCCATGTGCTCAGCTTATTTGAGCTATCTGTTCAAGATCAGCAGTGCTAGCAGGAAGATCCTTAAATCCCAGCATGATTCTCCTGTAATGCCACTTAATTTCTCCCCTTTATTAAATGGAAAAGCCACACCATTTTGATAAGCCAGTACTTTCCCCCTCCTTGAGACGTTACCTGTGGCCACTTAGCCCCAGCTCTAGAAGATCCAGAAATGGAGTACCACCTGGGGTGTGCCCCTCTGCATGTGGCAGGTGTGGGACCCCTACTGGTGCCAGGATGTGTGTCTACACTGTGGCTGTTGGAGGCTGCTGGAGCTCCCAGGCAGAGAACATGCCCTTTTGGCCTGAGAAGTTCATGGAAATAACTGTCTCTTTAGCAGCTTAGTCATTACAACTCTGGCTCTCTAGTCCAGCAACCTGGATCTAAATTTTGACTTTGTTCAGCAGCCATGTGACCTTGGGCAAGTTACTTAATCTCTCAGGGGCTTTGATTTCCTTATCTGGAAAATTAAGATGGAAATAGTACCTAGTTCCTAGAATTGTAAGGATTCACGAAGAAAATGCATATAAAAATACTTAGCAGAATGCCAAATAATAAATGCTCAACAAGTATTAGCTGATGTTATTATTAATAGAGGCCCAGCACATGAAATCATGCACAGGTAGGGTCCCTAGGCCTAGCCTGTGATCAGGGCCATCTTCCACCTGCTTGCTAGTCCCCAGTCCAGCCCCGCTGCTGCCACCCACCCTGGTTCCTCATTTGCCATCTGGTGGGTGGGGAGGGATCGGAGGGACCAAGAGGTCTGCCTTCTGCCTGCTTGCCCCAGTACTCAGTCCTGTCCTGCCGCCACCCACCCCGGTTTCCTGTTTGCCATCCAGCGATCAGAGTCTGCGGGCACAGGGGAGGGACCGAGACGTGGTCAATGCACCCCATAGCAACTGGTTTATAGGTTGGATCCAGTCAGTCATTATGTGGTTATGGTCACTGGCCTTTTATTATATAGGATTATTATTAATCTTTCCCTGAGGATATTTTTTCCATTACTTTATTTAAAGAGAGTGCAAGGGAGGGAGCAAGGGAGCGGGGGTGGGGGGGTGGGAGAAACATCAATGTGTGAGAGAGAGACATCAATTGGTTGCCTTCTACACAATCCTCGACTCGGACTAGGAATCAAACCCTTGACCTTTGACACTCAGGTGGACGTTCTGACCAGTTAGCAACACTGGCCAGGGCTAGCTGTTATTATTCATTGTTAAGTAACTAAACTCTAAATGCAAGGGAAATAAATATATTTGTAAGGAAAAGAAAGTTCCCTAGCCTTTCACCATGCTTGGTATGTGAAAGGGGATGGTAGTGGAGAAGAGTTGTATGGAGAAGTACGTTGAGTTAGGGTAGCCCAGGGGTATTGTATAAAGTGTACATCAAGTTAAAATTGCTTACTCTTGATTTTAAATAAATCTTAAATCAGGTTGCTTTAAGCACTTGGAGACATCTTTCTTCTCAGTTCTAAAGCAGGGGATTCATATTGTGGTCCTCCATGAAAGAAGTGAAGACAATGTGTTTGTTTGGCAGTGGAGCCAGTTGTATAGTTCAGATGTATAGTTCTTAGAGATGGTCGTTCCTCCACATGGCTGTTTGGGAGAGGACATGCCTTGCATTGTAGCTCTCTGTGAGACAGGGTGCAAGCTCAGTGATGTTTTTTTGATGCTGAATTGTTTTCTGTGCTTTCTCCTTCAGATGTTTCCCCAGAAGTTGTAGACTGTTGTTTTTTAGGCAGTGAAAACTTGCCGTTTCTACCCTTGTAGACATTTCATACCACCTTCCCCCTTTACTGTGCCCATAAAAGCTTTGCATGTCCCAATTATAATCTGAGAGCAGACGTGTCAGATTCAACATTCTGAGTGGATTTGGGAAGTTGATTTCTTCTAAGTTGATGTCTCTTTTCCTTTGTCATGAATTGAGGGGTACAGAATGAGGCTGCTAAATCTCTTAATAAGCAGGATGTGTGTACACCAGTGATGGCAAATGTATGACACACGTGTCAGAGGTGACATGCAAACTCATTTTTTTGGTTGATTTTTCTTTGTTAAATGGCATTTAAATATATAAAATAAATATCAAAAATATAAATCTTTTTTATACTATGATTGCAAATATTAAAAAATTTCTATATGTGACATGGCACCAGAGTTAAGTTAGGGTTTTTCAAAATGCTGAAACACCAAGCTCAAAAGGTTCGCCATCACTGGTGTACATGGTTCTGTTGTAGTACTTGTAATTTTTATTTTCTATATAGTTTGGTGTTTTGACACCTTAAATACCTTTCTGAATACGGAGAGACTGCCCCTTCCAGGGCTAGCACTTCTAATAGATAGCAAGGGGCATTTGAAGGTTTATATTTTATATTGGCTAATTGAATAAAGACTAGGTTTATCATTTTTTTCTCTGAAAGTGAATCAACTCTTTTGGAGAGAGTTTAGTGTAAAATTCCTGAGTGAAAAGGAGACTTCATCTGTTGGGGGGACCACTTCGCAAATTATATGATTATCTAACCACTTTGCTGTACATCTGAAACTAATATAAAGTAATATTGAATGTCAACTGTAATTGAAAAATAAAAATTAAAAAAATGGACTTCATGGAAAAGCAGCATGTGAATTAGCGGTATTGGCATGTGAATTGCTAACACTTGCCAGTGTCTATCTTCAGTCACTTTAAATGATTAACTCTCCCATGCAGCATCTCATGGATATTAATGAGCAAATGTAAGGAAAATATTTGTTTAAGCTAAAGGATCCTGGTGGTAGTCATCTCCTACTATTTCTGTATTTGTTGATTTTTAAGAGATTTCTCACAGATGTTAAATAACACATGGTTGTTTTCTCCCAGATGTTTTCCAGGAAGGTCACTAAATCATATGGAAAATAATAGGAAAAAAGCGAATCAATGTAGTCTTAAGGGGCAGTACTTATACTTGGGGAAAGGAAACAATTAGAATGCTTTCTTGTTTACAGGATTAGTTTTCTTCAATGGTCCATACATTTGGAGATATTATGTGGAGTGTTTGAGGCTCCATCCCCAGCATTGGCACTCCAGAGATGGCAGCAAAGGACAACTTCTTAGAGTCTTAGAAGTGATCTAGGTACTTGGTGCTAGGGGTGTAATGGAGACCAAGATAAGCATAGTCTTTGCCTTCAGGGAACTTACCTCTGAGGGTAGAATGTGCGCGCGCGTGCACACACACACACACACACACACTCACTCACTCACTCACTCACTCACTCATGCAATTAAAGGCATATAAAGGATGTCCCAAAATTCACAAAGAAGTAATTTTGATAGAAAACATAGGTTTATAACTAAAAATTGTAAACTTTTTATTGATTCATAAAGTATACAGGATAGGGTTATGTATGGAATAGCATATCGGGTAAACTGGATTATCATGTTGCGATAGCTATTATTGCCTGAGCAGCCGCATTTTCGAAGAAGAAATACTTTATGAATCAATAAAAAATTTACAATTTTTAATTATAAACCTATGTTTTCTATCAAAATTACTTCTTGCGTGAATTTTGGGATACACACCACACACACACACACACACACACACACACACACACATACATACACACATACAGTGTGTTGAGTGTTCCAGCAAACCTGGAGGGCCAGAATGCTATTGGGAAAATGTAACAGAGGGACCTTACTTTTCATTCTTATAGAGAATGATGGCATGACTGGAATACCCTGAGTTCATTTCCTCTCTCTTTCTCTTCCTCCCTCCCTCATTTATTTAGTAGAATTATATGCCAGAGACTCTACCGGCAGTGGAGATAGAAAGTTTAATGAAGCACTATGAATCTATTGGACTTTCTTTCTTAAAAGTCATCATCTGATTTTTCTTTCAATCAAATCTGAAGTCCTCCTTTTGCAAGCTTTCCACTAATATAGGGACAGCTTTCCTCAGGACCAGTCCCAGTGAGGCATGTCATACCCACTGTCACCTCTATCTTGTGTTTGCATAGTATGTGAACTTTTCTTTGTGTTGGTTGGTTGTTTAATTAGGCATGTTTTATATACCTCTGCTCATTTCTGAATATCTGTTTCAGGTAATTTGCTTCCAGAGGCAGAATAACATCATGTTATGCAGTTTTTAATACAGCACTGTGTGCATGTGGCTGTTTAACTTTTTTCCTATGGTAATGCAATGTTTGAGTTACATTATTTTTCCTTTGGGACTTTGCTGAACTGTTGTGAAAGAG